AAGACTTTATCAGTCTTTAAAAGTTCACTCTTGAGAAATGACGTATTGCTGTTCAAAGTGGTCCTACTCGCTATGGTGCATTTAAGATGCCCAAAACTTTTTTCTCGAAATGTTGCTTGCGTGAATGCAGCGAGAGAAGCACTGCTGTTTTTCATGCAACTTCCAACTTGTAATCTCCCATTTTACAGATAATGTAAATGCAAGTAATGGTGCTGGTAAGACCGCCTTGCATTTGGCCGCTGAAGCTGGAGAAGTTTCGGCGGTTCGTCAGCTTCTTGTTGCTGGTGCGGATACGGAACGTCGTGATGCAGCTGGTCATTGTGCGTTGGAATCTGCTCACATTGCTGGACACGATAACGTTGCTGCTGCGATCATTGAAAGCATTCGTGAGTTTTTCTGTTAGTAAGCATCGAGATTCAAAGGGAAGAAGGCCTCAGTAGAGGAAATTCCCTTTTGGGACACTTTGATTACTACTTAGGCTACAGTTATAGCGTCAGTCGTACTTGAAAGTGATGGCCTTTCTCATCGTCACATTAGGCGCCGTTCCCTCGATATTGATTTCGCTGGAAAAAGTTTTTGTTGCGCTTAACGATTTCTACTCCTGACGTATGGCGGAGCCTGCGTCAGCTTTAGAATTACGTGGAAGCGCGCTTCAGGGACTTTCTAAGATACATACACTAACTACATTTGAGGGGTCCAAAATAGCCACAAGATGAAGATTCAAAATAAGATTTAGGACCAGAACCCATGGTGTATAGATAATTTTCATAATTAAGTAGCGATAGTTTGATAATTAAGCGTCTTACAGAACTCGAGAATGACAAAGTGAATGAGGCACATGCTCACTTAATGATTGCTTGCGCCGAAGGGGATGTTGACGCTATCGATCGAATTCTTGCCACTTTTCCTGTGAAAGATCATTATGCGATACTCAACGGTCGTAGTCCGGAAAGCGATACTGCTCTTTTCATGTGAGTGTCTCGGAATGTTTCGAATTGACGATATACACTTATGCTCGCTGCCGAGGAGGGGGCGTGGCCGCCGCGACTGGTTTGGCGCGAAACCAAAAAAGTTTCCAACCAATTGTCGAAGCCAGAAAGAGAAAAGACTGTATTCTGTCGTTTATGTGTTTTTCCTTCGATTGCTGTCGCTCACTCGCTTGAGCAACTGATGGAAAAAAGTTTGCCTCCGCGCTAAACCCTTCTTGCCGGCCACGCCTTATCATCTGCAGCGAACACGACTGTAATTGCGTTCCTTTGTGCACAGTTGCAGTCGCATATAACTGTTGCAGTGCTTGCACGAACGGCCAATTCGATGTCGTGAAACGACTGCTCGAGTCCGACTATGATCACATTTTGGTAAATCAGAACACTAAAGACACGGTGCTTCATGCCGCCGTATCGTCCCAGAATGT